GTAGCTGCTGTGTGATTGCACACAGGATGATCTGCTCCATAACTCTGCCAGGCACCGAGGTCAGGCTGACAGGCCTGTAGTTACTAGGGTCAGCCTTGCAGCCTTTTTTATGGATTGGGGTGATATTTGCCAACTTCCAATCATCTGGGACCTCCCCCGTGAGCCAGGACTGTTGGAAGATGATGGAGAGCGGCTTGGCAAGCTCTTCTGCCAGCTCCCTCATCACCCTAGGATGGATCCCGTCTGGTCCCATAGACTTGTGAGGATCCAGATGATTCAGTAAGTCACCAACTATTTCCTCACGGAATACAAGGGGGCTATTTGGCTTTCTATCTCTGTCTACCAGCTCCAGAGGCCAGTTGCTTTGAGAGCCATCTGTCTTACTGGTAAAAACTGAGGCAAAGTAGGTGTTAAGTACCTCAGCCTTCTCTTCATCTCTATTAACTATGTTTCCCTCTAAGTCCATCAAAGAATGGAGGTTTTCTTTGCCCCTCCTTCTGTTATTAATGTATTTATAGAAGGACTTTTTGTTATCCTTAACAGAAGTGGCCAATTTAACTTCAAATTGTGCTTTTGCATCCCTGATTTTCTGTCTGCATAATCTAGCTGTCTTCCTGAATTCTTCATAAGTAGTCAACCCTTTCTTCCATAGCTGGTAAACTCTCTTTTTATCTTTTTATCTTTTAGATGTAAAAGGTCTCACACTTCTCCTTCTGCCTCTTCAGTTTAAGGACTTTTCTGTTTTCTGTCAAAGTGCTCACCTTCCCTGTCTGACGTACCAGAGCATCTACTTTGTACTCTGTTTCTGTGGTAGTTGCTTTTGTTCTGTACTGAAGACTTCTGTTTTGTTTCGACTGTGTGTTTTGGTTATTTCAGAAGGTTATTCCCTTTACTGTCACTGTCAAGAATCAGATTTCTGTAGAGATGTTTTAAGGTCTCATGAGTTACCAAGCCTAGAGTCTCAGTGTCAGGTAATGTGAATATCTCTCATCTCTAGAAGAATGCAGACGAGCACAAATCTCATTAAGAAGCGGGATGATGCTCATCCCTGCCTCCTCCTGGAGTGAAGCTGTTCCTGCTGGCGTTAACATTGCACAGTTCCAAAAGAATGGAGAGCTTATAGTACCTGCATTGGTGTTTGCAACAGAGATGAAGATATTTATGCTCCAAAATTTTAATCTAATAGTTCCATACTAGTAGCTTGAAGAAACAAATAGTACTTCATTCTTAAGGTCACCCAATTCTTACTTCAACCAGATTTGCCTTTAGTTTCTTACATTATCCTTACTGCCTATATGGAAGAGTGAATATTTCAGATGAATTGGAAGTTTTCAACCTGTTTTTTAACTTCTTGGTAGAGTGTGGAAAATTTTGTAACAATAATTATTTCTTTAAATTCCAGTCATTATTGTCAAACTCTTGAAGTGGCTCATCTTCCACTGAAGACAATCTACATGTAATAGGTGCACTTGGCATCATTTGCTTTCCTTAGTAGTTTGTTTCAAGATGTGAAAATGAAGCAAACCAACTTGTTAGGAGATGTAATATAGGTTAGGATGAGAAATATGGATATTTCTAAAAGAAGCAGATACAGGGCAATATATAATATGGCAGCATTTTTACCTGAAAAGATAGTTAGAGATAATTGAATGTTTTCTTGCAGTTTTTGAATGATGTTGATTCTGAATAATGCTGGGAGGAGAAAGCCTGGATTTGATGACAGTTACTATGGCCCAAAATGACAGGAACTTGCATTTTCTTTAAATTGAAATAACTTTACTGTTCTTACCCATCTTGTTGGACCCATTTGATTGAGGACACTCAGCAGCTTTTAAGATTTTGTTCCCAAATAGCAAGAATACTTTGTCATGCAAAAGGAGGACATAATATGGCTTGCCTGGGGTGTAATGAGGTATTTCAAAATAATTTACTGTCTATCTTCTCTGGAAAAACAGCAATTACCATACTGTTACTTTTCCAGTATAACTCAAAAGAAGAACTTGTCTCAAATGGGTTTTTTATCTTCTTGCCTTTGAGGAATATATTTAAAGAGCTGGCAGCTGTTTTAAAATGTTTTCCTCACTTTCATGCTGAAACACCACAAGCTGATCCAAACCCTTCAGTAATAGACTTTTCAAAACACCAGACCATTATCTACTTTGAAAATGTGATTACAGTTTAATTCTGTTAAAATGCAAATGTCATGTAGAGGACATCTCTTTTAAAATGAAGGCATCCCCACAAAAGTTGATTTTAGGTCTTGTTAATCCATGTTATCACCATTTGAGATGTGTCTGAGAGAAGTATTCCTTTATGCGTCTTACGTGTATCACTTCTACTGGGGTTGTTTTGATTTGTTTTTTAAGTCAGAAAATCTTGAGAAATAATTCATTGTAGGTTTACATTGTTTATGATTCAGCATTTTTGAATTTACACTTCACCAGCTACATTGGCTTTAAACTAGTGCAAAGAAAGGTCTATTCAAAGAGGAAGTCTGGGACATTATGGAGTTCTAATACTGATTGGCAATTGCTCCATATGTGGCTGCAGGCAACTCTTAAACCTGTCAAGTCACTTTGGGTAATTGTGAAAATGGAGGCTATAATACAGACATATCTTGCAGCCAGTTAAGAGAATGAATTAATTACTTGAAATTATCTTGTAAATTTATTTTAATTTTTAGTCCATCATCCACTGCTGGTTTTATATACAGGCAGAAATATATTTGTCTGCAGGGTACTCACATTATGCAAGGACTCTCCTGCTTTTTTTTTTTAAGGGGTTCAAACAGTCCAGAAGAGTTGATGATTTACTAGGGGAGGAATGTTGGAGGCTGTTCCCCAGTGCCTCAGCACTCTCCCTGCAGTCTCAGCTCACAGCCTGAAAGTGTAGGAAAACAGTATGTTTTCTGAACTCTGGGCATCTTCTGATGCTTGACCATTGCAAGAGAAGTTCAGAGAGGCATTGCCTCTGTCTTCAAGGCTGCAATGTGGACCTGAATACTGGGCAGGGACAACACTGGGTGTTGTCTACAGGGATTCTCTCTGTCTCTGTTTGTGTGTTGGGAAATTTTCTGCTCCTTTTTTAAAAATGTCAGTAAAAATATGTCCAGGAAACGGTCAGTAACTACAGATCTGGAAACAATAGGTATGCTCAAATCCAGTCCCAAACACCTGGGGAAACGGGTGCATGCCCTTGTTACCTGCTCCTCAGTATTCCTGGCTTCTTTCAGCATGTGCTGGGCATCTTTGTGAGCAGCATGTGGGGGATTGATCCACCTCAAGGTACTTTGTGAGATTAATGTGTCAGATTCGTCCCATAGATTCATCTGATTCACCTGCTAGGAGGCTCTAAAGGTTGTGATAATTAAGTGGTGCTGCTTTTACAGTGTATTACACCGTCTGGTTCCAGACTTAGTTGTCTGTGTTTGGTAACTGATCTTGTTTGGAAATAAAAATATATTCTGAGGTTCTAGCTTGATTTGCTGTCGTGATTAAAGAGGTTCTTCAGCTTGTCAGCTGCACCCACAGCCTGCTTAGTTAGTGAACTCTGTTAGGAAGTAGGAAGAAGCATGCAGGAAACTGGCAGCTGGAGCCAAGCCGAAAGAGTGCCCAGAGTAGATTTTTCCATTTTTATGCATAATTGCAAGACAGGTAAACAACTCTAGTACATTCCCAAGTCTGCACAGAAATGTAAGTATTTATAGAAAGCCTTTTTTGGAAGAAGCTCGCTGTCCCATTACAATGAGTTTTTATTCAGTGTGTGTATTTCCTTCACTAAACATGAAAATTCTTTGTGTCTATTGAAGGAAAAGGGCTTGAGTAGTATGTTCAAGAGGAGATGCTCACAGACATTTTGTGTCCAGTAGTACCAGGTTTATCTACCAGTAGACAGACGTTTATCTGGGACTGGTTAGGGACTCTATTTTCTGAGTCCCAGAGTGCCCTTACCTGTTTGCCAAACCATCAATGTTCAGGGCTAGTAACAAAGTAAATGATAGAATAATCATAGAATACCAGGTTGGAAGCGACCTCAAGGATCATCTCTGAGATTAGCTCGGTTGGTTATAACACTGAGGTTGTGGGTTTGATCCCTGTATGGGCCATTCACTTAAGAGTTGGACTTGATGATCCTTGTGGGTCCCTTCCAACTCAGAATATTCTGTGATTCTGTAATCTGATCCAGCCTTTCTCAGCAAAAGCATGGTCTAGCCAAGATGGCCCTGCACCCTCTCCAGCCAAATCTCCAAAGTGCCCAATGTTGGGAAACCCACGACTTCCTTTGGTAGATTATTCCAATGGCTGATTGTTTTCATTTTGAAAAATTTTCCTCTTGTGTCCGATTGGAATCTCCCCAGGAATAACTTGTACCCATTACCCCTTCTCTTTTTCCATGTGACTCCTGGTAAACAGGAAGTCTCCATTTTCTCTACAGCCAGCCTTTAGATATTGGATCATGGTGATAAGGTCTCCTCTAAGCCTTCTTTTCTCAAGGTGAAGAAACCCAGTTCTCTCAGACTTTCACCCTGTGACAGACTGTCCAGTCAGATGCAGAAGCTTGCAGTTAAGCCACGGAGGTCTCTTGCTCCACCTACTTCCCTTATCCTTAAAGGGCATGAACTGTTTTCATTCTTCCAGGAGAATGTTCTTGAAAAACTCATAGCGCTTGTGAGTTCCTTTACTGTCCATGGAAGCTTCCCACAGAATCCTACCCAGCTAAGCTCTGAGCAGTCTGAACTTTGCTCTTCTATAATCTGATACCTAAAACATATTTGGTAGGTTCAATAATATTTATATAATATAATAATCAATAATATAATATTCAATTCAAAGCTACAAGGGGAATTTTGGTAGAATGCAGTAACTTCCTACGGGACCACATTACTGCACCTTGCAGGTTGAAATCCCAAAGTGAATGTACAGGGAGCTACCTATGTCTCTTTGTTATTCCTGCTTTAATTATTCATTTGAAGCTTACCCAAATGCCAGCACTGGGAAGCTGTTGCAGAAAATCTGTGCTTTTCACCTTCACAGTAATGTGTCTCGGAGGATTTGAAGACCTAAAAGAATAATAAATTTTCTTTTAATGAGGTGGTAAAAATCTAAATTGCTGTATCAGGAAAGAATCAATAATCCAAACTTGTGAAGGAGATAGTAAATGTGTCATGCTAGAAGAAATTTCTCTGGATACTGGATATTTAAGGAATATGATGAATGATCTCCAAAGATGTATGCTGTATGATGTATTTTTCTTTATGCCTGCAGGACCACAAAGTAGAAGAATTCACTGGCTCTCCACTTTATTCAGTTATGATAATCAGTTACGAGATGCTGCTGCGATCTTTGGATCAAGTTCAGGCTGTAGAATTTAACCTCCTAATCTGTGATGAAGGACATCGTCTGAAAAATAGCGCTATTAAGACAACTACAGCCCTCACCAGTCTGTCTTGTGAGAGGAGAATTATCCTTACTGGTTGGTATCTATAGGAACTTTTAATATTTTGCTATGCTAATAGTGCTAGCTTGCATAAAAGGAAAAAGGTATTCTAATTATGGCAGGAGATCAATATGAATTTTGACAGTGGGTATTGAATGTGAGAACCAATTATTTCTAATGTTTTTTAAATAAAATCAAAATTTGTCAGTGTCCAGGGGCAAGCAAGGAGCCTGGGAATGTCTATAAGGAAAGCAGGACTCTGTTAGCATACTCTTATTGTTTCCCTTTGTAGTTATTTAATAAAATGGATTTAGAACTTGACTTTTTAAATTCCTTTGTCAGAAAATTATATGCAGAGTCTGTTAGTTAGGAGGACAGTATCTGGTTGTACTTTCATCAGTTTCAAGAAAAAATTACTGAATGCAGAATTATTTTTTTTCTTTCAAGGTACTCCAATCCAAAATGATTTACAAGAATTTTATGCGTTAATAGAGTTTGTTAATCCAGGAATACTCGGTTCTTTATCCACATATAGGAAGATATATGAGGAACCAATTGTCAGATCTAGAGAACCTTCAGCAACAAAGGTACTTTGTTGAAAAAATGCAAAGAAAACTCATAGACAGCAAAGTGAAATTTGCTCTCTATGGAATAAAGTGAAGGTCAGTGAAGCTACTAATAGTAGCAGAAGCTTTTCACCTTCCTATTTGAAGTAAATTCACTTGCTCTCCAAAGGAAGGAGAAGGAGTACATGCATGTTGAGATCACCTCATTTCAGCTGCCTATTAATTTGCAGGCAACAATTGTTCTTCCAACAGTTGCATTCCCCAAAACGCCACGTGCATTGTCATGTGACAGTACTTCATTAATGCTTACTTTCTCCACAGCACTCTGAAATCTGCATGATTTTATTGCACCTTGAGAAATTCTAGAATATAATTCAAACATTGGATGTCATCTGGGACATTATCTTCCTTTTTTTAAGACTTTAGAAACCTGATGTAGAACTAAGCTAATGCAGTGATACTAATTGGAGAAGAAATGGTCATTACAGTCCCATGTCAGAAAGTGGTATCGTACTTTTGAAACTTTATTTAAATACATAATTAAAATAATACAGAACATTATTCTGATGAAAGCAAGATTATAATTAATTTTGTGGTTTGTTCTTTTAGGAGGAAAAGGAATTAGGAGAAAAAAGAGCAACAGAACTCACACGCCTCACTGGACTTTTTATTCTAAGGCGAACACAGGAGGTTATTAACAAATTTCTGCCCCCCAAAAAGGAGAGCATAATCTTCTGCCGACCAACAGCACTGCAACTTGAATTGTATCGAAAACTGCTTAGTTCTCGAGTTATTACGTCCTGTTTACAAGGCAGGCTAGAAAACAGTCCTCACCTAATATGTATAGGAGCTTTGAAAAAACTTTGCAATCATCCGTGTCTTCTGCTTAAAGCTATAAAGGTATCCATTTGCATGGGGGTGGGTGCCTGCTATTAGCCATTTCAGCAGACAAAGATCACGAAAACTATGTTATGGTCAATGTGCATGTCACTTAAGGTCATTTCCATACTCTCACATCCAACTTGTTTTAGGAAATCTGCTTTCACAAATATTAGGAAATCTGAATGTACTCAGGGAAGGTATCTCATCAGTTTCCTATTGCCTTATGGTATATTTTTTCCCCATGTATTTTCCTTCTTAATCTTGTCTTTGAATATTTCCAAAAAATACATGTGAATGTGAATTTTCCAAAGAACACTGTTAACTAGAGATTACTGTATGTACTTTGTCTGCTGGTTCCTCTGAATCCTCCCTGTCCACGTGATAATTTCACTTTCTCAAGCTCAGTGACACTGAGAGCTGCAGGCTCAAGATTGGATGTCTCCATTTCCACTTCTCCTGGGATCCTATCGTGCTGTACACCTTGTTATTTCTATAGAAATGTTCTCATTCCTGTAGGTCAATAATATGATACTTAGAACTTGGTAATAGTAACTTCTATGGCCACTATTTGAATTCCAAGTGAGGTGTGGAAATGTAAATCTTTCCTAAAGGACATATACTTCATGAATTTGTAGGAATGTCCATAGCACAGACTTCCCTGTAATTTTCAGTAATGCCAAGGAAAGTTCATTGCCTTTACTGCATAGTATAAGCATTAGAAATTTTTCATATGCAAAAGCATAAGCCTTCAGAAAATACAGAGATAGGAAGGACTGTATGTGCAAGTAATTTACTGCCATTGTGGTTTGACATTTAGTCTGGCTTTTTCCTCCCTGTGAAACATTGATTTTCTAAGTATAACAAGATAATACCTGTATTTCTTCTATTTTTTTGGTTTTGCTTGCTAGCTTTTCTTCATTTCCAGTTGTATAACTGAATCTTAATGGCAGTATTTTCCTAAACAGAGTGAATGAGTAGGAAGTTAGTGGAGAATATTATGGGATTTAGAAAGAATAAACAGTGTATTGATTTCCTCCTCACTTCCAAGGTTTAGATATGGGTTTTTTCTCTGGATCTATATTTGTGTGGTTGTTTAAATAAAGAAGTTGTAAACATTTTTCAGTTTTAAGTATTTCAACTTTCTACTCAGCTGCAAACAGTGTCTTAGATTAGAAGCTGTAAACCAAAATGAACACACATGGTATTTTAAAACTTTGCTTTCAGTCCAGTGTTGAGAGGTTGTCATGCTCACATGATACACTACTTTCTGGCAGCTTTCGATGCCTCCTTTTCTTGTTGTAATAAAAATATAACAAAATTTAAAAAAAAAAAAAAAAGAAGGGGTATGGAACTTTAATCTTTTTATTTTCAATAGGATAAAAGCTGTGATCCTATGTCTGAGGAACACGACGAGTCCAGCCTCTATGAAGGTGTAATAGATGTCTTCCCGCAAGATTATACTCCGGACACTTTCTCTGAAACTGATTCAGGAAAATTGCAGGTGCTGGTGAAGTTGTTAGCTGCAATCCGTGAGCTCAACTCCTCTGAAAGGCAAGTGTGAAAGAAAGCTAGAAGGGAGGTAATGGGAGTGACCTTCTGGATATTGATTTGCTTTTCAAGTGCATAGGGGCATAACATTCAAAATAAAGTCATTGCAGGTATTTGCAGAGGTGCCAAATGTATTTATGTATTGTAGTTCTGGCTCCTTCTTATTTAACTAGGACTTGCAGCTGACATAATTTCCAAAGATGCTCTTCGTATTTTTTCCAGGTAGAAATAGTTGTATTTTTCACACCAAATTTCAGCAAGTAAGATAATTTGCTACAGCCCTTGTAGTATATTAGCTTTGCTTGCAGAGAGTTTCCAATGCTTTGTATCTCTTTGAGGAGATGTATCAATCTATTACATTGCACTAATATGTTTTCATTATTAGATTATAAGTTATTTAATCATACTTAACTGCTCAGTGCTTGCTGCCTTTTCTGTTCAGGGCAACCAGTCTCAACAGATGAACTTGCACAGCAACCACTTATTTCCCCTGTGGTATGCCACTGGCATGTAGGAAAACCTCTGTTTATCATGGGGTAATAGGATGCTCATGATTAATTTCTGTGCAATTGCTGATTTGTGGAAATCTCACATGACCTGGCGTCACATGATAATTTTCTACGGACTCAGGCCTTAAAGCCCAGCTGTTCCAAAAGTATTTAGCTTTTATTTCAGTTGATGCTTAAATAGGACGTGTTGTAATTCACTAGTAGGAAGTAACAGGGGATCTCTTGACAATGATGTAATGCAATATGAAGATATTCTCTTTTTACAAATCAGAGAGATGAGCCTGCTGTTGGAGTTGATATACCTAGAATCCATTGAGACCAGTGACAGCCAAATATCTAAAGTACTAGCCTTGTTTCTTGTAGGTCAGAAAACCCAAGAGTGTCAATAAAAAGCACATCTCCCTGTAGCAGTACTGTTGGAGATGTTGAGTTACAGCTGTTGTTGAGGCATTATTTTACACCTTTAAGTTTTGTTGATTTAATTCAGTGCTGTTCATGTTCCTTTTTCTTTTGTTTCTCTGCTCTCATGGGTACTAAATAGTTTTAGCAATGTACAGACTCAATTCTAGTCCTCTTCTGAAGTTTATCTTCTATTTTTTAGGTAAAACAAAGGTGTGAATGTGGTGTTGATTGAGAAAAAAATAATAAGTCTTGCAAAGTCTTTACAAACAAGTCTTGGATGTAGTTCAGTTGTAAAGTGTAATAATAAAAACATTCTAAAACATTTAAAAAATCTTAGTATTTTTGTTTTTTCATTAAATTATTTGTATAGTTCTTCAGAATTTGTTTTTAATCAAAATTATTTTTAAAAATAATGAAATTTGTAACACCTAGTTTAGATTACAAAAGACCTCTGAACAAGATCTGGCAGAAAATGCCCTAAATGTCCCTATTATTTTATTTATGGCTTAAATTCAAAAGATATTTGTTTACTTAGTAGAATCATCCTCAGTATCTGGGAGGATAGAAATTTTAGATTTGCAGATCTTTGAAACTTATTTAGGCAAAATTTCAGAGAAAATACACCGACATTGTTTGGGTCATTAGTGTAAAGGATCGGATTTATTTTGTTTTTCAAAAAAATAACACCAGCCTACCATAAACTGTATTGTTTATGGTGCCTTTCACTAGCCCCCATCCCAGTTCTTTTCAGTCATAATAATCTTGAGTTTCCTACTCAACTTTCAGTATGTTGCTTGTTAGAATTTTCTGAGGTTTTCTACAGGAGTTCTTAGTAGCTTTTTGAGTAAGTGGCGTCATATATATATTATTTATTAGCTCCTACAACATCCTCTGCAAATGCTGCCTTAACAACAGCTGTTTTGTAAAAACACAGATTATTTTTGGAAAAATCTTTCTTTGTGATTGGTTCTGAATCCCTGCAATCTGTGCATTATGCCAAATTCTGTTGCAAAGGGAAGCATAAATTATTTAACATTTGAACGCTTGATAGGAGGTATAAGGCATCCAGATCTAGTATGTGATTCTAATTAATAGGAAATGTTTTATTTCTTAGGAAATAAAAGTAACCTCAGGTTAATGTGTAATTTTTGGTTGACTTTTATTTTCTTAGATATCTTCAGTAATTTGTTATTGGACTTGAATTTTAGCATGGTGTAAGATGATAACGTTGTTTTACTGTTTGACAGAGTCGTACTGGTATCCAATTACACTCAGACATTAAACATACTACAAGAGACTTGCAAACGCTGTGGATACTCTTATACTAGACTTGATGGAAATACTCCCGTCTCCCAGAGACAACAAATTGTTGATACTTTTAATAGTAAATTCAGTCCAGCTTTTATCTTTTTGCTGAGTTCAAAGGCTGGTGGAGTAGGACTGAATCTGGTTGGAGCATCACATTTGATCCTGTATGACATCGACTGGAATCCAGCTACGGATATTCAGGTCTGATAACAACTGTGTATGTGTGGTTTGGGACGGACATCAAATGAATTCTTGATTGATTTTGAATTGCCTGTCTTTACATGTCTTATTGCTTCCCAGTTATCACATTGCGTCTGGACAAGTACAATACTTAGGGAAAGCTTTTTCTGAGAAGAAAAGAAGAAATATTTCTGTGGCATATCCTATATATTGGGATCATTAGAAGCCTCTTGCAGTAAAGAATAAAAAGATTAAATTCTGTTTGCTTTGGAGGAGTGAATCACGTATCCTCTTTGTTTCTGATGTCTTTTTAACTGGAGAGTTGTTGTGTTTCTAAAAAGAAAAAGAATACAGGATTAGATTGCATAGGAAATGTTGCTGCTGATTTGCAATCCCTGAGAAAAAGGGAGAGATTCTGATCAGAATTACAAGAATGAGAAAATCACGTGGCTATGATGCCAAAAGAAAGAAAACAAAGCCAATGCTGTGCTATTCTTGTAAAGGCACTGTTCGCCTCAAGGGATAATTTATCTGGCATAAGAGTGTTCAGTTAAAATAGTTCTTAGCAATAACAATTAAAAAAATCTTTCTATGAACTCGGTAAGAAACGTTTTATTGTGGAGCAATGCTGTGTGCTTAATACCTGAAATAAGCTCTGATTCTTGGCCCTGCTCCTCTTCCAAGGGTGAATTAGTACCCTCATGTGGTCACTTGTCTTGTTGCTTGAATCAGTCTGCTAGGTCAGTCAAAATTGTTACAGGTTGCCAGAGACTGCAAACCATGTTGAGGTACTTCTACCCAGTATGTAGGTGTAACCCATACAATTTTGAAAAAAAAAATCATATAGCAGTACTCAGTTTTACGTTCTGTTTGTTGAAGAAATAAAGGGGATACAAACTACCATTTTTATATTTTTTAAAGAAATGGAAAAGTCACTTTTAAAGACTTATTGTGGGGAAAAAAACAAAACAAAACAAAACATTTTGGAGATGTGGTAGAACAAGGAGTATTCCTGAAATATTAAATGGTTTTTAGTGCTTGGAAAACAAATGTGAAGAGGGGACTTCTGGCAGGAAAGAGTTGAAACCCCCACTTTCTTACTATAGTGTACAGAGAGAAAGAGGAGCATGTATGACAGAAAGTAAGTTAGATTTTCAAAACTGTTTATACTTAATACCAGAAAATTCACAAAACCAGTCAGTTATTGAGGAATGCTTTATTTGGGCAACATCTTTTTGAACAAGCCAGTGGAACTGGTAATTCAATCAGTGGAGGCTACCAATTTCAGTTAAAATATCATTGTGGAGTAAGCTGTTAATGCCCTTCATCTTTTTGCTTCCACAGGCAATGGCTAGAGTGTGGAGAGATGGTCAGAAACATACTGTGCATATCTACAGGCTGCTAACCACAGGTCAGAGATGGTGCTCAAACTTACCCTTGAGTGAGGCAGCTGTTGAAATTTTGTCCATAAAAGAAAGGGAAAGAGTGTTTTTGGAAATCATTCGATCTTTAAAAACATATTATTTCTTCTGAATTCAGTTAAAATGGAGACAACACATTTGTTCATTTGCCTTTGCTTTGCTCTTGCTTAAATAACTGAAACTAGTGGATTATCATTTTCTATGTATATTGTTATCAAGAAATGGATTTGACTTCTCCTTTGCAAATACTGGTCAAAGATTTATGTATTTTTCTTTTTTCTTTTCAATACAGGCTCAATAGAAGAAAAGATTTATCAAAGACAGATTAGCAAACAAGACCTTTCTGGGGCAGTTGTAGACCTTTCCAAGACATCTGAACACATCCATTTTTCCATTGAGGAGCTTAAAAATCTCTTTACTCTTCATGAAGATTCCAGCTGTGTAACTCATGATTTGCTTGAGTGCAACTGTATGGGAAAGATTGACCATCAAAGTGAGTTTGTTTTTTTTTATCTCTGGCCACTGCTGAGGAATCCATTCTGAATATACAGTTTATCTCTGGAGAAAACCTTGATACTCAGTAAAATAGGATTTAAATAGTGAAGTTCATTATGGGGTCTTTCAGATATTGGCTGATTTATCTATTCCATAGGAGCCCTTGACAAAACTAAGAGGAGAAGAGATTAATTCCTTGCAGTAACAACCAGTTCATTTATCAGGCCTTTTAACTGGAATTAGGTATGCCCAGCTCAACTAATGATTCCTTACAATCAAATGGCACAATATGGTGTTCTGTTTCTAAATATTCAAGGATGGCAATGAGTAGCTGGTAAGGGCTAGTTAAAAAGCAGGTTATCTGAGGGCAGCTATACCAGATGAAGATCTGCACCACCTCACTGCATATAAGCCTTCGTTTCTGAGCAGTTAACTAAAGCTGATGCAGGATGATTAAAATAGTTATTTGAGAAATGCTGGAAGACTCCCTGGTAGTTGTAAAGCCATGTTGCAAATATTTGACTCTACCCTCTCTGTAGGAACCTGTCTCCCGTTCTTTCGGCATATCAAAATTGGTTTCATACCTTGCTGCATACAGGTATACAGGTTTAAGTTAGGAGAAGGATTTAAAAAAATAAATTGTCATAAGGTATGTTTGCATCTTATCCATTTTAATTTTTATGGCTCATCTAGTTTCTTAAAGGAAAGAGTGTCTATTGCTCTGGTATATTTGCTTTGGGCATGAAATATCCATGTGCACTATTTACAGGTGTGATAGTGAGGTGCCAATACTGATATCTTCTAAATGCAATCATTTAGAAATACCTCAATAAAAAGGACTCAAGAAATGGGTACAAGAGCATGTGTTCTCAATAGACATAGGCAAGAAATAAAGTACTGTGGACCCAATATGAGACTATTTTGCTTGATGGTTTGCATGTTCTCATAAAATAAGAATTTAATTGTCTCCTTTATTTTTGCTCCACGTGCTGATTAAATCATCTTTGTATCTTTCTTTAATGATTGAAAAATTAGACCTTCTGTTTTTGCGTAAGTGATGTTCTAAAATATACCAGCCTCCACTTAGGTACTATTACAGGATCTGTGTGGGAAAGGCACCTTTCATGTTAAATGTTAGCCACATTTTCTCAGTGGCGTGCAGTGAGGCAGGTACGGCTCCTGGACTGCAGAAATCCTGAGAAATTTTGTGTTGTCAGTGTGATGAACGCTGGTGCATGTAATTTTATTTAGCATTTTTCAGCTGTCTTAACACTCTTGACTTCTTATCTTATGCTTTGAACGCATCTTGGTTTCATCAATTCAACCACAGCACTGGTCTCTTGGATTCTGTAACTGGGACTTCTCGAGGGTAATTATATCCTGGTCCCAGTGAACAGAAACTTTTGGCAGTAAATTGAGGAAAAGCCTGAAGGCCATTCTTAGACTTAAGTGGTGGTAATTATAGAGTGAGGGGAAGGTTAGTTTTCTAAAGAGCAGAGGACAAGCCGGCTCATCGTTTCCCTAGTGAAATTGTTTGGAGTCATGGTCTTCAGTTTGATCACCCCAGAATGCAGCTACCACTAGCTGGTCTCTGTCAAATTACTGCATCAGGGAGCATCTCTGCACAGAAAAGCCAAGAACTCACACTGATTTGTCTCATCCATTTCTAGCAAGTGTGATTCAAAAGATAAACTAAAGAGGAACCAAACAATATAATACAGACTTCAAAAAATATGAGCTTTTCATAATGATCTCCATTAGATATACACCAGTAAGACTGGATATTCTTGACCAAGCTCCTGTGGTCCATTCACACACTTTAGGAAACTACAGAGGCCTTGAAAGGAGAAAGTTACCTGTGCATGGATCATGCAGATATGTTGCTTGCTACTCTGCTGGCCTTCAGATCAGCTACAAAACTGTAAACCTATTGTTTTACCTCATCTTGTAATTTAAGGAGTTAGGAAGGCAGAATCTCTAAATGCATCTGTTCTAAATTTTCTTCTGGCCAGTAAAAGAATATATTTCAAGTCTACTTCAAATGTGTATCATATGTCAATCAAAAGGAAAGTCTTGCATGTTTGAGTCTTTGTGGACTCTTCAAAACTTTAAAAAACTCAGGAATACTCTGAGTCATGCTACTCACGTCACTGGTCTTTCCTAAGGAGCACATAACGCTGCTGTGAAAATACCTGATGACAGATTTTAAACCAGTAACAGCAGTGATGCAGTTTTTTCCCGTCCAAAATAATTTGTTCATTTTCCTATGCATCAGATGAATCATAAAGCCATCAATCTGTGACGTGCCCTGCAATGACCTGGTACTGTTTGGGTCTTTAGAATCCTTTGTTGAAAGTTAATTCATCTCTTTGTGCTTCACAGCAATTTCTTTTCCTTACTGTGATATATAGTTATGTGTGTATTGAACAACTTGGCATAATCTGGATGTACAGAGTGTACAGATCTAGTGTGCTGAGTCAATGAAACAGCTACATAAACTATTCTTAGCTGGCTGAAATGATTCCTCTGGGAGGAAACTGAAGCTAGTGAGAATTTTGCTGCAACATACATCTAGATTCAGGTTTACTTAAAGAATGGTAGCAGCCAAAATGTCACAGAATTAAGGAAGATAGAGGAAAGGAAATTACCAGAAAAGATATATCCTGTCCCATTCATGTGTAAAAGGATTTGTCTTTATGCTAGCATATGGTAATTTTGATAAACTCAATCACTGAGCAAGAAACAGGCTTCTCCCTCTTACTGTGAATACATATATTTGGGTTTCATTGACACAGAAGGATTATATATGCTGTTCTGTTTTCTCTCATTTGTTATCGCCAACTGGCTTATTGATTCAGACTGAAATTTTCTGTCTTATTTTTCTCTGATTAGTTTACTGCATCTTTTTTTTTCAGATATTTCCTCAGAAAAGCCTTCTGTATCTAGAAGTTGCCAGCTTGGACAAAATCATGGGAAGCCTAATTCAAAGAAACCACTCTCTATGTCACAGTTGATGCAGTGGAAACATTTCTCTGGGCAACGTCAGACTTTTCCTGATCCTTTCCTTGAAAGGATAAAGGAGAATGTTTCTTTCATTTTCCAGAATGTAACCAATTCAACTTCCCCACCTAATAAAACTTAAGTGCCTTTCCCTGCCACTTGCATCCTCCTGGTCATAGGCCAAGTAAACAACTGATGTGCAGTTACTTTTTGTTCTTTTTGCCTAGTTCTGTTTCGTGTGTTTCTGATGAAGTTTCTGAGTAAATGTGATTCCTGGTGTTTATACAAAGTTACAGTTACTACTAAGTTAATCATTCCTGCTGTAATCATAATACAGATTTTAAAAGCTAATTTTGCTTTCCAGTCTTCTGTTCCTTCGATAACAAAATTAGTAAGATTATTTTTATGCACATTCCTACTGTAAGTCTACTCTGGTTTATAGTTTCCATTTGATCACAACGATTTACTGCTTGTAAAGCTGGCAACTCTTCAGCCAAATTTTACAAGATTAGGCAGTGCTATATGCAGGTATATGCTGTTAACAAGATTCTGTTTGGATTTCTATTGTGACAGTGAAAAGTTTTGTGTTTGTATAAATGCAGCTTTATAACAAGGTAGATGTTTTTACCCTCGAATTTACAACTCAATGAAACTCAGAGCAACAGCCACTAAAGTCCAAAAATCCGAGGCCACAGATCGATGCTGTGTCAAAATATTCTAAAATTCTCCTATTGCTTTTACTTGGGAAAATAAACTTTATTTCTCAGATGTACAGAGTACAAGCTTATCTACATTTAGTGAACTCTTTTTAAGAATGCTTTCTGCCGCATGCTGGAGTACTGAGCATATTTTCATGGTCTATTTTTTAATGACTATATTTTCCTCCTTCTTTGAAAACATAAACATTTAAAATCAGTTTGTAGCTTCTAAGTGAAGTACTTTGAAAGGCCCACAAGAGCAGAAGATTGGGTAATTTTCAGAAATACTGCAAACTTACAGAATTTGAAACACCTTGAACAAGGGCTCCGTTGTGGTAATTCTGCGTTGTGTCACATGATGTATAACCTCTTGATATTTGGTATATATGATAACAGAGGTCAAAAGCCCAACTAACTTTCAGAAAACAGTTTAAATTTGTTTATTCTCAGTGTTACCACAGTTAGTGCTCTCTTTTTCCCTAGGTTGTCACTGAGTTCAGAATCCATCCTAACCCATGATCAAACATTCTCCTTGTATTTTGGTGCAGCTTGGGAACTGAAAGACATGTGCTCTGACCTCTATTTACTGTCCAAATTTATTTCAGAGGGTTTTTTGAGGTTTCTTTGACTCTAAATACTGAATGACAGAAAATAATGAAGACCAAAGTGAGAGAATGATTGAGGAAGTCCTCAATTCTGAGCATCTTTTTGGCATGCGAATTGTGTTCTTGGTAGCAATTAGAATTATGCTAATAGGTAGAGTTTAATTCTTTAACATTTTAGGCTGACTGTTAAAGCGTGTGTTCTTCCCCCTGTGCATGGGGAGTGTGGCAGCTTATCTGGGTGCTGTGCTGCTGTGGTGCCCGTTCGCTGTTAGACAAAGTTCCCACAGCTTATTTTAGTTTTCAAGGACAAGGTTTGCTTCCAGCTTTGTAACTCCACAAGGAGATTCTAGCGAATCTGTATAATGATGATTATTGTAATCAATAATTATTTGAGACTGGTCATACTTAGATCTGTGCTGCCTGTAAGTCTCTGTAAATTTGCTCCTATCCCTGTCTGTAGGATCAGGCCAGCCTTCTCTGCTCTCTGCTGATGCTGATCTCGTATGTGGTTTCTTGCACCTGCAAGAAGAAGTGTATGGTTCCATGGAACCAGTTTGGTTCCCTTGCTCATTTGTTTGTGGGACCGTGGTTATCTCCACCAAACACACATGAGCCCACTCTGGTTTGGAGCAAACCAACTGGCAGTGCTGTTGAGGAAAGCTGGGCATAGAAGAGAAGTTTGCTCCAGGGTACACACCAGTCTACGTTTTACCTTCTCTGATGAACACAACCCCTCAGGAGTATCTCAGTGGGCCTTTTGACCTCACATATGGAGTCTTGTCTCAGACAGTTGTGCTTGCTGCCACTTCATGCACCACCCCACACAATACACGTGGAGCTGCATGCTGGCTGAACACAGGTCTGACAGGGAAGCACTTTTGTTTGCTGGCCTCCAGGGTAGTTTCCTTTTGGCAGTTTTTAAATAAATAAAGCCGATGGTGGGCCACCATGGAGCTCTCAGAAGGCTTGAGGAGAGGAGCCCCTGGACACATCCTGCTGTATGTGTGAAGGTGATCCAGGCTTAGATCGTTGTTGTGGGAAACGGGCTATCACACTAAGTAATGTTGTTTCAAGGTTAAGAAGGCCAAAGCAGCCTATAGAAACACACACAATGCAAGTTACTGCTTCAGTGTGATTCCCTGTCTGTGCCCTGCTATGCCAGGCTGCCCCAGATCTCTGGCAGTGGCAGCTGCATGGTGATGCTCAGTGGAAAGCTCCTTCAGCATCCACCCAGCCAGCAAAATGTGTCCTTCTTATTAACCTTTCATGGCTTCAGGGCATAGTGGAAGTGCGCGTGTGCTTCTCAGTTGTTTGGGTAAGACAGTACTATATTATAGAATTATCTGTGATGCAGATTGAAAATCTGATTCTGAAATTTGATGTATCCTGGGAAATAATGCTTCTCACTGGAAAAATAGGTAGTTAAAAATATATTAAGCATGAAGACAGACTCTAATTTATTGTGCCATCTGTGATTCTCCCACAGTAGTCTGCAGCAGCCTTCAAAAGGAGACCTGCTCAAGTAATCAGTATAATAATCAGTGTTTTCATACAGACTGCAGCAAGTGGACATGTGAATTTCTTAACCCATAGGTGAGAAACTTCTCCTAGGAAAAGTCCCTGTGGCGAATTTAGCCTGACTTGATTGTTGACTGGTAAGGTGTATCGGGAATTTCAAGTCTCCAACAATGTCACTTTGCCCCTTCTCTTAACAATTGTGAAACCCTAGAGGATGGGGAGGTGGATGGTGCTGAAAAGACCATACTTGTCTAACAGGTGGTCTCATCTGTGGCTTTGGGATTCACTGCCAGTGATGCCAGCTGTAAAGCACTATGTAGTTTATGTTGCATGGTCCCATCGGTCAGTCCTACTCTCCTAGATCCAAGACTTGCACTGCTGAAAGGGGAAGGCAAGGGCAGTTGAAGGGCTATGGTCTAGTGCAGGGCTTGAAATACGAGATGTTGATTAATATACTTGGTTGTCTTCTACAGTTTTTGAAGGATGCAAGTGTTCATCCACCAAGTGGTAATGCTTATGGACACATGCCAAAGAACGAGGCAAGTCTGCCCAATAACAGGTCTCAAGAGGTGCTTCTTCAGTGCAGCACGAAGAGCAGCAGATATTACAGGTGTAAGCACCATGACAAGGAGCTTATTTTTTTAACAAATACTAATCAAAGATGGCCAGTATTTGACATTTATTAGTGCTACAGGATCAGGATGGAGATATGTCTGGGGCAGCAAGTGGTGAGTGCAGTGCCAGCCACGCATCCTGGTGCCTTTATAGATGTGAGATGTTGGGGGTTATCAAGTCAGGGTGTGCTCCATCTGAGCTCAGACTGTTGTTGAGCACTCCCTGGAATGACAGTGATTTGAGTGGTTTGCACCAGTGGGTCCAGAGAGGAATGCTTACCCTGTCAGAAGAAGAGATCGCAAAGAGTGTGCTTAGGGAATGGTCTGCTAATCTTAGAGCGGGTGCTGCAGGTCTCTGAATCACAGTGGGCATGGAGGCCTATCAGCCAGTCCTCAGATTCAGCAATCAATAAATACTGTGTTTGTTCCTTACCAGCTCTTAGATGGGAGGAGGGGATTTTGGAGAAATTGAGTTACTTCTGGTACAGGGCATGCTGCCAGAGAGACAAGTGTACTGCATGTTCCTGCCTGAGACCAACCCTGATTTTAAAAAGCAGAAGGAGTGGTGTTTTATTTATTTCTGTATACTGCAGTAAGGTTTTTTTTAACTGGTTTCATATGACTGTTTTTGTTGATTCAGCTTTTAACCATCTTGGCTCAAGTTTTCTTGTCATTGAGATGGTGACCCTTTATGATTATTCAGTTGTAGAATAGCAAGCTGAATTGTAACTCCATTCACTTATTGTCAGACAAGGAACCATATAACAAGCTTTGGGTGTCATACAAGTTTGTATGGCAACTGCCATAGATATATCTTGCAGTCTGACAAGAGGTTGACATCAAGTCCAGTTAAGGGTCTGCCTTTTCCAGGGATCATAAAGTTCTTTCACTCGTCATCTGGTACAGAGAGGTGCCAAGTGTTGACTGAATGATTCTGTAATGGAATAAACTCATGGGAATTTCTTAAAATGCAAAATATGGAACAAGCTTTGACAACTGCCTGGGGTTACCACTAGGAATTTGGAAAGACATACTCCAGCCCTTGCAGGCAAGGAACAAGCAGAAGGAAAGTAGTTCTTTCATGTGCTTTCCATTGAATGAAAAGTTGATGTAAATCATGATTGTTTATGTGTGGCTTAATGAAATGATGTGTTTGTGTCTAGAAGATCTGGGCAGGCTATATGAGAACAATGAGAAAAACCACTTTGGGCTTTATAGAGTAACTGAAGAATAAGCTGAATTGAAATCTGCTTTTAACAAGACCTTGTGTGCTATTAGTTAGTACAAAAGCAAGACTGTTTTGTAGGCATAGGTACTTCACAGGACTTAGAACATACGGTGCAGTGTTCCTCTCTTGAGAGGTGACACGTGTTTGTTGCACAAGCAGCACCAGTCAGGACTAGATAAGTAATCCTGAAAAGTGCAACCAACTTGTGAGTATTGCGCCACAAACTTCCCTTGTTGTGTACATTGGTTGCTGCTACCTTTCACCAGGCTTTTCATCAACACGTGGAAATGCAGGCTGATTTGAAGGAAATATGTCTGTCTAAAAGCCTCTACGGCTGTTGTTGCTTCCAGCCTTTTTATCTCTTCTCTCCCAGCCTTGATGTCAGCCTGAGTTCTCCCTGTACTCTTTTGTTTGCTTAGTTTGATTTACACCCACTTGACAACATATGGTCTTCATTCTCCTTTAATTCGTTTCCTTCCAAACTGTCAGTCACTGTGACAAAAGCCTGGGCCCCTACAAGCTAGATTTTTGGGTGTTTTCTGTCAATTAGGCAAAAATCTTTTCCTTCTCTTCATGGTGACTGCCTTGGCCCAGGTTTTAGTTTTACAGAGTGTGAGTTATGTCACTTAACAGTGAGTTCCCTCTTGACCCTTGACTTTTCAGGGTTCTTTTTGCGGGATAGGGTTTGCTCAACAATAGAAGTGCAGCCTGAAACTTCCTCCCTCCAGCTGAAAGGTGTTGCCTTTCATAAGGTTTTCGTCCTGTCCTGTAGCTGGTTTGGAAACATGGGGCTCCACAGCCTCATTGAGTCAACAGAGTTTTGTGCAGGAGTCAAAGCTTATTCGAAACCTTGAAGACCTGGGATCTAAATAAGATCACCAAATCAATGAGTTAAGTAGGTGAACCTTAGAGGGTTGCTCATGCAAGTGCTATATTTGATATACATTCTACAAATGTAGAAGGGGTTAACACCACTTCTGGCTATGCAGCACTTTTCTCCTTCCGTTGCTACTCTGAAACTTTTCCCGTTTGGACTAAATTTTTCCCCCATCAGTTTTGTGCTGCCAGGCTGATTTACAT